TCAAATGCTGGATCCACACCTGTGTGGGATCAACAGGATTCCGTGCGTATGAACTGTATTTTACAACTTGAATGCCTGTGCGTATTTACTTAGAGGTGCGTAAGAAAACGCGGTCATGCTTTGATGTTCACAATGCAATGTGTGAATTGCGCGCACACACAGTCACATGATCTGCCCCGTCTCCCGCCAATGCGGACGGACATTGGCGCTAACAATCTATGGTTTGATTCGTGCAACACATTAACATTATCATTCAACCATCGTTATCACCAACTTTCAGTTAACACGGTTTCTGTATTTCTGTATAACACACAGAAGCGGAGGTGGAGCAGGAGGCGGAGGAAGAAGAACCGCCGAGCAAATGACCGAATTCGGATCATTCGATTGGAAAATTGTAGTCTCGTTTCCGTGGCATGTCATGGGGTTAATGATGGGACGAAAAGCGTCTTGTTTGAGAAGCTGTTAAACTATCAATACGAGCAAAGGAATATGCATCTGATGTGATTAACTGAAACATTAACATGATGAAATGGAACAGGAGTATGGGGAATAGAAACGATACCATTCCGGAGTGAGATTATACAATTGAGAACCAGTTGTTTCCCAAATGGCACGCAAATGAAAAGGGGCAAAGAACTATATTATTTGCTATGCGGTGGAATCAATGTGTCAGATGGTCCACGGAGAGCTCTAGACGACCGATAAAGCCCGATTCGAACTGGTCAGCACTTCAGATGTGAATTTACAGTTTGAGTGTCCAAAATTTGACCGTCAAGTAAGAGTCTACAATCTCGACCCGAGGGTCGACGGATATAGATCAAATGGAAGTCGAAAACATCGTACTGATTATTGGTTCAAGAAAACACAAAACGGCTATTCAATGCTCCACGTCGGTCACCTGCGGGGAATGAATGATCTTCCAAGGACTGAAACCCTGAAGAGCACCAGAATAAGACCATATAAATTGCTAATGCTTGTGGAATTATGCAAATCGAACAATAAACGATTGATATTTCTTATTATCATTTGAAAGATGGGCATTCAAACCCCGGGGGAGGGTGATTTTTGGTCTGTGAACGGTGAATAGGTTCGAAGTGAGAACGCGGTACGCTCAATAATACGATTCTTCGGTGTTTCTTTTTTACTATTAGTCAAAGGCAGCAAAGTACTCTACTAGCCATGTGGTAGAAGTCCCACTAGAACACTCAGAGTTATTGCTCGTAAACATTAGCTGATTTGACATGCACAAATACACATCGAGCTTGTTCCGTTCTTTTTTCCAGTCCCCTTTATACATAAGTGTGATTATCATCATCATCATCATTATCATCATCATCGACCTTGAGAATTCATAACTAATGTATATGAATATGTTTGACGCAACATGGGATTTAACACTGATCAAAGATCGTTACACTTCAGTCATCCGAATTTTGACAAAAAATTCTAATCAAGTATATATTCACGAACTGGTCCGTACGATGTTTACAACAAATGGAGCCAATTCTGATTGCTTCCTTGTGTCGTGTATCCGAAAGTGCAGAGTGATTCACCCCAGGATGGCAAATCAGCTTTACCAGCATGCTTTGTGTACTGGTTGTAAATGGTTGCTTGCTGGTCAGGATAACCAAGTTAATTCATTTTAACTGCTCAAGAGTACCTTGTTTATAGCCCACTTAATTATCATAACCCAAATCAATCCTTTAGTGACTGAGACCCCTGAAACCATTGATTGAGACTTAACAGAAATCAGCTGAGTCGCCACGTGCATTGAAACTCGTGTACTTCAGTAACCGTATCATACTTTCGTTCCGTTTACCTTTATTAATTTACAGTCGAATACCTCCATCTTTCTCTTTTATTGTTTGGTCATTGAACGCGGCCGTTTTTTATATATTCTTCTGTCCCCAACATTGCACCTTCAATCTCTTCACCGTCCTGTGAATCAACATTGTAAATTTTTGCAATATTCTATTGGCCTGCCCATGTTGGGCATACTGACCGCATCCACATTCAAACTGGTAACCGTGTCCGGTTTGTGGTTCGTTTAGATTTCGCATTTGCTCTATTTTCTTATCTATACTTTTAATCAATTTACCCTCTCCATTTGTATTTCTGCTAACTTCATGGGAACCCATCGAATTCTTGCATCTTTGTTGTACATATGATCCTGCTTTGTGCATGCTTCACAAGCTTTGTGAAATATACATTTACTATCATTATCATTATTACTTTTCTTGTGACTCTCCAGTGCTGCCATATCACTGCCGTATCACTCAACTGTTCTAATGCTGGCTGTTCTTCCCAAACGCGAATCGTTCATCTATTGCGATGGATAAAACAGTTTCGTACATCAAACCCTCCTCTTATGGACAGAAATACTAGATCACCGCTCCAAACTGAACGGCAGTGCGCTTATTTTTGCACCGCACTAAACGGGAGTGATCTGCACTGACTTTGTATATCACGATAATCTGCCAGAGGCATACGTTATACTCTCAGAAGGATTATCATCCGGTTATTAGGTGCTCTCTGGCGAAGTGACTGTGTTTCGTGGCTCAGTAGCTCAGAACTACCACCAAATCCAACGGATGTTCTTATTCCATTGTTTTCAACTTGTCAGATAGAAATTCACTCGAAGCGCGCATGTGAACGTTGTTTGTAGATCATAATTATCAGGTCAAATATCGGAGTTTTATGTCAGTCATTCTGATTTTTCAAAGAGGGAATTCGTCGTGTATAGAGCAAACGAAGCGTAAAATGAGAAGGCCAGTAAACACACTGCACACCTGTTCCGATCTGTTTGGTTCTCATCAGTGCAGTGGGTGAATCCATTGACCCTAAAAGGGGGGAGCACGATCCCAGTACCTCACCGGTAGAACTCAAGTATACTGTCCATTTGGTCACCAAGGGGCAGTTGATTGGCCACTTTTTAATTTTTATTATATACAATACTGGGTGGTGGTGACTCAGCGGTTTATTTGCTATCACCGGCGTGCTTTGAACCCTATGGTCCGAGGCTCAAGCCCCGCCACAACCACCCAAATTTGGTGGTAAGTCCAGTCCGATACAAATACCGGGGCCTTATGTGGTTTGCCACTCCAAGTCCCGGGGCTTAGATCGCCGATTTCCATTGTTGAACAGCAGGTCTTTGTGGCAATCTCATTTGCTGTTGGTCAAACCGGGGTGTCATAAAGAACCACGCGGTTATTCCCGGCTTTTCAGTTGACGCTTCATTTGCTCTCTACACGACAAAATTCACTACCTAATTTAACTAAATCATCCATCACCGTAATTTAGGCATACAGTTTCATAATTTAGAACGAACACAATTTGGCCAAACACTGGTTTTCCATCAGTTTATTCTCCAACTATTTACAGATTACATAATTAACAGTGTGAAACAGACCACGGAGTTAGACGCAACACCAATCCTGTAAAAGAGTTTGTCACGATCAACTCGCTTTTGTCTTCTGATTGGGTAAACCAGCTAGCAATTTCAAGGACGGCGAAAGCCGTGGGGCCTGATCGATTACATGCCATGGAAGTTGGACCGACAGCACCAAACTCGTTTGGGAACAGAAGTTGCGGGGCCAACGTGAGTAGTCCTTAAACGGCTTGATAATGAATTACCGAGAAACAAGTGTTTCCTGAAACTGCTTTTTGTAAATGCATCTTTCAAACACAGTGTCAAAATTGTCACAATCGGCCGTTTTGTTTGTCACTTGATTTGTGGCAAAAATAATGTAATTTTAAGTTTAGGTTGCCTAAGATAACACGTGCATAGGCCAATACTGTAACCTTGTCTATAAGTGAACGATTCAATGAGGAACTCGTCCTGAGACAACGAAGACACAAATTTATAAGCGATGGAAAGATTTCTGATGTTCAACAGGGACAACTGTTTCGTCCAGTTCGGGACTCGTCAGCAGCAATTATCCACGGTGACCGATGTCTTTGAACAATCGAATGGATTATTCCAAATTTGCTACCCGGAGATACAAAATCTATCTTAGCATATGTCACCAGAGCAAGGATTTCTTCGAACTCGTAAATTTGAGGTTAACGGGTCAGCTCGGTTCCTGTTGAAGTAATGTTGCGTATGAAGATAGATTGTGTGTATCCCAATGTGTCTGTGAGTATTCGATGTTCAGGCGATCAATAACAGTTTCAAAATTTCATTGAACAACTAGTCATGAATCACAAACCATGGTTAGTAATAGATCATCGCAGATGTGCCTAAATTATTCTGTATAATATGCTCCAAATTCCGAATGAGCTCTGTTCTTGTGCGAATTTAGAGGAAAAAATCAATACCTTTTGCAAAACCCAATGATGCATTGTTAAAGTGCTGTTGTTCTATACCTTCAGATTGTCTATGGGTCTCGAGAACCATTTTTAATCTGTATTACACAAATTTTAAACCTTTCTCTAACTGTCTATTTCGTTATGGATATATAACTGGCCATAGACCGAAACGAACCAACTGGTGACATCACGACAGGGCTTACCTTGTTGCAGTCTTCAGCGGTGTCATATGAATTTTCCAAGTCGCGACAGACGTGGAGTCCACATCGGCTGCATAACAACGCCACAAACTCTGGATGAGTGTGGCGGCCGGGACTCGCCTTCGAATCAAATGCTTCTCTCTTTGATGCTGTTGCACTTTCAGGGCGAAGCCACTTCCCAAAATACCCTAAACAGCGGGGATGCACCAAACGGAGAGGAGCAATTATCGAGCACAAGTTATTAATAAATTTTTACGTGGCATTTTTCTCAGGAAAACCACAAGGTTTGATCTAGTTGCCTTGATTTTCCCACACACACACACTCCCTCTCACATTGAACATATAGTCAGTAAGCTTCGACGACTTTCTTTTCCTATCCGTAAACTTGGTCAGTTTCGTATTTAATAATCGATTGTTTCCAAATTAGTGTGTGTTGTCCCCGTTTTACTCTGTTCACCTGTTGTTTTTTCCAATCTCTGAAAGAAAGATTTTAAACTGGTTCGACAGACTGACCATTATCAGTCGCGTTTCTTCAATCTTGCTGAAGAATCTGGTAACTAACCTGTACGAAAGTCATTTGAATGCGTGTGAAAAGTTTGCAGATAAGACTCTCGTCGACTACACATGCGCTACATACAGAGAGCTATCTTCCTGTTTCCCATCTGTCAACCATCGATGTTCAAGAAGATTTAAACTGCTTCAAAAACTGTGCTAAGGCTTGGTCCGCTGCTGTGAAGAATGTCGGCTTATTTCGGCAAGTCTTTGGCCGATTTATTCAACCCTATTCCTACGTTTGCTATCAGTGTACATTCGACCCTATACAGAGTACGCCATCCAAGCTTGGAGTCCATGGCTTCAACCTGATCGCAAGATGCTTGAGCGTCCACAAAGGATGGCCAACAAAATGGTCAAGGGATTCCATCACCTGGCATACGAGGAGAGATTGCGATGATTAGGACTATATTCCGCTCAGTACCGCCGAACTCGAGGAGATTTGATTTTGACGTATCAAATAGTGCAGAACAGAAATCATCCATGTCGGCAGCTGCTCACATTATCAAACAATGTACACCTAAGGGGACCATCGTTTTGAGTTATTGATTCCAAAATGTCGACTGGATTGCCGGCGCCAATATTTTGCAGTCAGAGGACTCAGTACTTGGAACACCCTTCCATCTCATATCGTTTGTGCACCCACTATTGAACCTTTTAAGCAGAGACTCGACGAAACCCTGGCACACCTCACATTCGTACACCACTAAATACAAAAGGAAATTGACTATAGCCTACATTCTCTATTATCTCCTACCCGGAACTCTATGCGACTCCTTTTTTCGACGTGTAACGTTTCATCTGTGTAAATATCCTATGGGGACAAGAGAAGCACCAGCTTGTAAGCTATTCCCATAATAGAACTTTGACTATGACTTCAACCAGATCCGAGTAGCGTTGTGTTATGTCTCTCGCATAACTCTAAGGTACCCTTTTTAGCACGTATTCTAGTTAACAAAGAACAGGTTTTCACAGACTTTGTTAACAGTCGTTTTTTATCTCCCTCCTCTCTCGCTCCTACTTGTATATTGTTATCTCAAATGTAGGCTTTATGGCGACACAAGGTTTTACAATTACAATAACATGCTAGGATGGTTGCTTAAGTGTTCAGAAATTTCGGTTCATCTCAGCTTTATCAATTGAATCTTCCATTTTTTTGCACGAGGAAAACGTGTTGATCGGGAGCCACAGAAAAACTCACCGCTGGTAAGGCAAAAAATGAAATACCTCCGACTGCACAACAAGCGGCAACCATTTTCCCCATCCACGTCTTTGGCACTGTATCCCCGTATCCGACCGTACATAGGGTAACCTGTTTTTTCGGGGTTTGGGGGTGGGTGTGTGGGTGACAGAGAAATAGATACGAAGATTGCCCTCAGCAAACATCAATGAAGTGTGTGCCTAATACATGCAGTAGAAGTGGCATTTCCTTGAAACACTTATTAACGGAGTCAGCTGAGAAAAAAAGCGTTACTAAGAACTCGTAGTTAGTAGTTCACAGTTATTCATACCTATGGTTAAGGATACAGAATAAATGATACATACCGATTTGAACGATCGTTCTTCTAATTATTTATCAAGTCTTTCAGTCATTCAAACATTCAGGAAGGGAGAGAGACCAAAATTCGCATCGCTCAGAGCGCATAATTAAATACCATCTGGAACCCTCTGGTTGAAGGCACGTACGATAACTCGTATGTGTGCGACCAGCTCCAGCGATGCTAGTTAGGCTCGCCGATTTGAGATAGTCCCCATTTTCTCCTGAAATTCCGTTCAGTTCTGGCCTGGAAGCATGGACAAAGACAGGAAAAACACTTTAACTGAATTTCCCTGTGATCACTGTGTAACGCGTGTAACGCATGCGCCACGGTACAGCTTCCAGGTAACCAATCAAGAAACCGGTTTACCGATCAATTTTGTGGTCTCACTTGGCACCAACCGGATTGGCTGAATGCAAGAAAGCAAACAAATAAACCATATAGTTGTCGATTGGACATTTAAGAATCGACCAATGATATGATATGATATGATATATATTCGCATGCTTTTCGGAATAGAATTAACTGTATCCATAGCTCGTCTTGGTTCTACCTGATTTTGCGCTCATCCGTGGGTTTTGCAGTCCGAATCCGAGTTCGTGTTATTCAATTCCGATTTCTATTCCTAACACTACACTCGCTTGTCAAAACATGCCTTTCTTGCAGGTTTGGACATGCTGCGATTGAAGGTTTTAAAGGCATCGAAACTAGGCTTTGAGAGCGGAAGTGTTAACCTCTATAGCTACTGCAATAAATGATTTTACGAATCCGATAGTTTTGTTGACTTAGACAAAGTAACCAGTCATTTCCGTTGTTTCTTTGACGTCGTCTTTCTGTAGTGTGATTAAACTGTAACAAGTCGTACAGTTACTGCTAGCTTACGTCATCCAAAGCACATCTGACTGGTCAGTTTTTCTACGAACTTTATGAGTACCGATCGATCCCGTGCTTTATCGAGCTGTATGCGTCTTGTGATTGTATCGCAAATCGATTCGACAGAACGACAGTCATCAATTGATCACATGATCCAAGATGACGTGCACGAAAGCCGGTGGTCTTGACAACATGCATGACACGAAATCGATGTCATGTATTCTTGGCTTTGGTCTAGTAATTTTCGATTAACCCGGCTGACTCCACAACACTATAGATGTTTATGTGTTTGGTATTTACTAGGGCCATAATAACCGTCAGGTGGCATGATAATTTCGATTTTCTCGTTGGTACCCTCGGGACTGACTTGGCCTAATAGTTTTTTTGTTTTATTTTTCTGATTGGGTTGTGGGAAGATTGCCCTCCATTTTGCGTTTGAACACTGTTCAGGGACAGACCGGTTTGGATAGATGGCATTTCACCTTTGGGGGACTGTTTATTTTTTATTTTACTTTTCAGTTGGATTTGAGGCTCGTTCCTGATGTGTTTTGTTTATTTTTACTTTAACAAGAATTGTGTGAAATCACTCCGTCAATCGCGTTCAACGAAACCGATTTGGCTTGAAGATTGGCGGCGGAAATCATTTGCATTTGTAGGTACAATACCCAGGATTTGTTTCGGCGTACCTGAACGGGTGTGCAACTTCTCTCTTTCACACACACCAGCATTCCAACGTACTCGGTCCCAGTTACATGCAAACACGTGCTTGTTAATTCTGTGAATACCCATACGCATTCTTTGTCACGTGACTGACAAGCGTACATCCGATCGATGATTCATTTAATTTCATCGAAAACACAATGATAACATTTTCAGGAAGGAGGAAGCGGCCGACCAAAAGGCTGCCATACAATACATAAATGGGGAAAATTAGACAAAGTTGATAGTGATGGTAGTGGTGGTGGTGCTAGGAATCGACCACACGTTTTCCGGGGTGGCCTTTACCACCAGGCCATCACCGCTCGTACATAAGGGAAATTGGACAGATAAATTCTACATTCATTTTCGTGGAAACCAGGTGTCCAACACAATTGCATTGCTTGCACAATAGATGATTTACAACTGACACACACACACAACACAATTGAGCATATGGATCAATAACCCACAGGCATTAGAGAGATAACACAGGCTACGAATTCGGTTTCGATCCAAGTGAATGCGCCACGGTTTTACTAGCTGTTTTGTATTACGTATAACAGAAATCCCATTCAGTACGATTTGGTATTGATCTCTCAAGAACAAAACAGTGATAAGATGGTACAATCCGGAATATCGGAGTTACTCTGCACAGGAAATTCGAGAATGACAAAGTTATACACGCTGTTAGCTGTTCTTTTGTGACACGTCAAACTAACCACCAACCCTAGTTTGAACATGTTTCAAACTAATTAGATGGTGAGTGTTTGAATTAGCCTATTCGGTTTTTCACAGGCACCAGGCACTATTGATGATATTCGGTGTGGGTTTCACTCCTTGAGAGATCGTTAATTCCCCACTTTTTGAATGCATCTAAAATGAAAATGTTTGGGCTAATCGAAACATTCACCATCTAAATGAACTGAGCCATTCGCACAAGGTGATGACCGTCGATCGTGTAGCTCAGGGTAAGGGTTTGCAGTCCCGACCCAAATGTTCGCGGTTCGAGTCCTGACAGGGACACACACAGTGCGTACTGCTGACGAGTCCCAAACGGGACGGAACAGCTGTACAACGTTTCAAAATAATATTTGTTTGTTTGTTTGTCATTGATTTCTGAACGGTGGACATTTATCCCATTCTGTCCCGATAACAATATGAGTCTGTGTAAAGTTACAAACTATTCACCAGTGTTTTCGTTTTTTTTTCACTGAAGAACCAAGTGAACCTGGACACAAACGTTTCGGTTGAGTAGCGCTTATTTGGTCAGACATCAGAACGGAAGTTATAAAGTCTCATCTGAAGGGGTTCAGTGGAAGTAGTAAGACATTAACCTCACCCTATTATAAACATTCTCATTACATTGATTAAAGTAAATATATGCTGGAGCTAAATACAATCATTAAAGATTCAAATGCCTGACTGCCCGTATTCACACTCACTGGTGCTATTGTGCTGTTACATTTATTACAGTACCCAAATGGTTTGATGCTACATTGATCCCTGTCTTCAGGTATCGTTTTCATGGCGGTATTGTTTTCTGTGGGTTCTAAGTTTACCTGTACTACGGTTGTTGATTCAACATTCCACTTTAAAAATCTGAACTTGCGAAGTTTGTTTTAAATAACTGTATGCGCTCCCGATTGGAACTTGTATGCACCACTTAGTAGCCGTGTGAAGGCGATTGTTACCGTCCATAAAATTAATCGCTAGAACCGCAACATATCAAATCCTCGACTTGTTTTGCCATCCATCAAGAAAATTTGTTTCTTTTTTTACCATACTCTCCTAAATTTACCAGTTGTTTGCAAGTGAAAGCTAACCTCAGTATAATATATTCCATACAGAAATATAGAACCCAAAGGTACTTGAGCACACAATAATTGCCTTTTTGATAAACACGTGATTCTGAATG